GGGGGGAGATGTTCATGTTGCTGCAGTCTGACCGCTAGATGTCGCTAAAAGTTACACACTGTAGCTTTAAAGGAAAAATAAGTGGATGGAAAAACACAACTAAAAGTAGAACTCTGGTAAAATGTTTTATAATGAAAGTAAGAGCATTTAAACACAAACAGTGTTAGGGGAACTCAATAGATTGGGACTTAACAGTCATGTAGCTTTAAGAAAACCAGGAATCCATGAGACTAAATAGAAGGGAAAAAGGATTAATTTGCCCAGTAAGCACAAAGATTGGACTTTGGGTCAATGGAACAAGGTCATATGGTCTGGTAAGTCCAGATTTACCTTGTTCCCCTGTGGTTGTTGCATCAGGGTTAGAACAGAGGTAGGTGAGGTTATGTACGGTACCCATCATAACTAAGGCCTACTGTACAAGCCTGTGGAGGCAGTGCAATGATCTGGGGTTTCTGCAGTTGGTCAGGCCTAGGTATGTGTTCAAATGATGAGGTCAACTGGCTATCTGAATACACTGAATTACCAGGATTAATCAGGCTAGAATTGATTTTTCAGGGAGAATGACACATTGTTTTCACACATGGATTGGTCACCACAGAGTTCAGACCTTAACCACATTGAGAATCCTTGGGATTTCCTGGAAAACCATTAGTAATGCAAGATGCTGCAGAAACATTTATGCAACATTGGGTGGAAATAAATCTTGTGGAATTGCAGAAGCTTATCGAAACTATGCCACAGTGAATATGTGCCATAATCAAAGCTAAAGGTGTTCCAACTGTTACTGTTGGATGTTACTGTGTGACCTTTTTTGGCCAGGCAGTTCATGTTTCCTTCAGTTTGATTTTAGCCCTGGTTGTTGTTTTGATATGATGCAAATTGCATTACTTGCACAACATGTGAAGGATTAAACAAATTTAAACAAATTATTTTTATTTATGTATAAGCAATTGTTATTCAATGATAAAAAGTTTTCTTGTTAAATGTGATTATATCTGCCTCAAAGCAATATTTTTTTGTTTTATCCAGGCAAAATACAAATGCTGATATTACTCTTTTTGGGCCTCTGTCTTTTACACAAATCAATGTCTATGATAAAAGGAGATCATTTTGTAGCATTTTGTCAAACCATGTTTATTTGAAAATACAAGGTGAAAAAAAAAAGAAAATGGAAATGGGTAAGGGAGTTACCTTTTTCAATATTTGATAAGAAAAGTTGCTATAATCAGATCTATGAATTGTGGTTTTTAATTCTCCATGAAGAGGTTTTTAAAATGTATTTTAAAATTGCTGCATTTAATGATGGATTAATAAATATAATTTATAATTATTCCTTAATAATTAAACTCAAAATGTCGACTTGCAAAACAATTTCTAATTACCGTAGATTTCTAATTGTAGGTTTTAAAGATAACTGTTGAAGTAGTTGTATTTTTTATTAGTGACTCTTCCAGTCCTACATTTAAATCAGTGTTTCTGAAAAAAAACAGGATTTATAAACCCTGATATAAATGCTCCCCTATTCAATTAACAAAAAATAGTGGTTTGCTAATGAGATCAGTGGCTGCCACCAAGTGCTCTATAACTTCTAAAGAGTCTATTTATAAAGGCGTTTAATAAATTTGAGAATGCAGAACTGTAGCGCTTGAAATGGTTTGTGATTGATTCCTTTATTTTAAACAGATACCATTTTGTGAGATTTGCCAAATATTCAAATCTGTGGTTGAATTTTTTTTTAGATGCAAATGTATTTATCTAGTTCTCATCTTAACTTTCTTATAGTTTATAAAAAAACAAAAAAATTGCTTATAAACCTAATTTAAAATAGTTCTGTAGTTGTTATGGTAACTGTTTTTTAAAGCAAACTTACAAAATTATGTTTTTCAAAAAGCCACAAATTGTAATTTCATAAAAAGAATCCAGTCATTTAAAATTAGCAGCAAAGGTCTCACACTTGAGATTTCTTTCGAGGTTAAAAAGAAACCCATTTAAAATAATTAGCAAATGAGGAGAAAAACAAGAGGAAAAAAAGCCTCACAGGGAGGTGTTGAGCTAAATACTTTAGCCTGTTGCAAACCAGGAGACAATGCTGTTTTCAGTGAATTGAAACAGTAGAATATCTCAATAAACACAGCTGGAAAAGCTGGAGCGAAACGCCTGGGCTGGCTACGGGTCATTCAGCCTCAGGTGGAACTGGCAGGAAAACACGCTGCCAAGTGAGCAAAGTCTTATCAGAGGAACTGATACTCTCGTCATTGCAACTTTAACTCATATGGTAACTTTAACATTTATAAACTTTTTAAACCTGGGATTCATCAGCTTGACTAATATAAAATAAAAATCTGGTTTAATTTGTTTTATTCAATGCTACTGCTAGTAGGAGGGGTTATCATGAAAAATATACCATGTTTAGTACTTGGTACCAAACATTTAGGCAAGAAATTTTTTCTTTTAAAGATAATTTTTATTGGCTTTAATAAAAAAAATTACAATTATTCCTTTAGGCCTATGAATTGTTATGTTGGCATATAAATTATATAAATCCAAAATCACATAGGCTTTGTAATCTACCATCTATGAATCCTTAAAAGATAACATTTCTACACAAAGTTGTTGAAGGAAATCCTTATATATCAATACAATACTGAATTTCCCAAAATCTGAAAGGAAATCAGAAAGAAAGCAAAGAAATACAGAAAACCAGAGGACAACTTCAAAAACCTCAGCCCTCAATGAACCGAACCAAACAAGCTCAAAAGCCAACAGCTAATGCTAAAAGGAGACAGAGGTGTCAACCAAAGCAGGTCACATCTTCCCAGGATAAAGAACCACAGAAACTGAGGCTTCCTGAAAGGAGCTCAAGGTTGTAAAAGCAGCAGAATATCAGGAAAAGATCACAGAAGCACAAATATTGGGATTAAAGTTATTTCAGCAATCTTCAATTGTTTACTGTTATTTGTTACATCAGTTGTGTTAAACACAATGTTTTCATCCACGAACTTTATCTCCTACATGGAACTTCAATAATAACACCATTTCCGAATAATATATTTTTATTTTTAAACTTCGCAGGACCTATTATGGAATTTTAAAAAATGACGATATTAGATACAAAAATAATCATAAAGTCCAAACATCAACTTATTGAAGGAGAATGTTAAACAATTCTTTTACACTTTATTAGCAGCACTCATGTAGTGCCTGAGAGCTCTACAGAACGCTTAACTAGTGAGTAACTCAATAAAGCAGGACTAAACTAAATGTTGAGTAAAAAACAAGTTTTTAGATCACAACCACTGTCAACTTGAAAAAGGAAACTTATCCTTCCCGTTATAAACGGAAAAAAAGACACAAAAAAATCCCATTATGATGAGTTAATGACTTTTGGGTTCATACGATGGCAAATTATCTTCTCCTTTTCTTGAGAAAACCAAAAAAAAAAAAATCATATTTATAATGGGAATGGGTGTTTTCAGGTACTAGTAGTTGTTCATATGGCAACACTCAGGATGTAGCTGTAGTCCAATGTAAATATGCCTTTTAAATACAGGCATCATGATTTGTGTGTCACAGGACACCCCACACCTCCTCAAAGGCGGAGCAGATTTTGGCACAGGTCAGCGCTGCAGAGAGTGGGTAGTTACTAATGGAGACACTCTTCTCTGTGTAGTCCACTTTCACCTGACAAAACAGAACATTGATTACATTGAGAAAATATTTCAGAACATGAAACAGAATCAGATCATCTCCTCACCGAGCCATGTGCAAATGCTCCGATCACCACCGCCGCAGGGCCTTCTGGCACCACAGTCCGAGCATTAACAGCCTCACCGGCAGAGAAGGAGGTGGCGATGCGGGGGCATCCAGGAGGCAGGTGGTCAGACACTGGATTTTTAATCATCTTCAACAGTTTCTGAGGACCATCCGAGGCTCTGACGCTCAGCTTGTGCAGCAGCTGAACTTTAATGTTTGAGAGAAAATCTTACATTTAATATATTTTACTGGAATATGAACTGCTTGTCATAGAAGAGCAGAAATGTGAGACGGAATGATGTATGGTATTGACTGATAAAAAAAAAATCTATAACTAATCCTGCCAACATGGAAGAGTCAAAAAGCTTTATAAGAAAAAAACCTTAAAAAATCAGATGTGCAGTTTGCTATAAGCAGACACAGCTAATGTATGGAAGAAGATCAAAAAAGATCTCCATACTTGTAGCTAATCTGCAAATCGATCCAAAAAGTATCACTGCAGGTAATTCTGTAAACACCACCCACAGTTTCAAACATCATAGTGATAGAAACAATAAAGTTCAGCAATAATAAGGAACCAAGTCAGATGTGATAGGAAAAAATATGCAAATTAATTCTAGGAAGAAAATCTGTTAGAGGTACAAAACACTGACTGGGGCAGGAGTTTACCATCCTGTGTAATGATGGCTGCGAATCCATGCTGAGCTAAAATGGAATGGTCTCAAATAAACAAATATATATTCATATATTAAAGTGATTCTGAATATTCACTTCCACTTTCCAGTTATGCACAAGAAATGCATTCAAATTTGTGTTTGCAATCTGAAAATAGTTAAAGGGGGCACAAATACTTGTGAAAACCATTATAAAAAGCAATAGAGAACCAATATCCGTACCCATTAAGCCACAGAAGCGATTGAACGTTCTTGGGATGCGGGTCTGTGGGTTGATCTCTATTAAGGCGTTTTTCTCTGTGTGGATATAAACCTGCAAAAGGCCTGCTCTGTTCAGCGGGCTGTCCATCAGCATGAGCAGACACTGGAATGAAGAAAAAGGCACAATTAGTATGATGATAATGTAAACAAACTCCACCACATAAAAAAACAAAAACAAATCAAGAGTTATGATATGATGCATTATCATGTCTGTCATTTATCTCATTTTTCTTTGGGATCACTGAAATATTTTTAAATTAAATTGAATGAGAAAGAATTTAAGGAAGGTATTGACTCGAGATCTAGGAATTTCTAAATATATTTAATAAGTTTGAAGTTATTACAACTGGGAACAGGGCTGCACTTGATGTTTTATCATAATTTAGAACAAATAAAGATCTAAAGAGCTGCTGAGACTAATATGGGTTATGTTTACCTGATGTGTGATATCTGGCCTAATGTGTCCCGGGTCTCTTCCACTTTTGATGATCATGTTTTTGTGCTGGTCGCAGTTCAACAACTCAAACGTTTTTCCAACCTAAAATATGGCAAACAAAACAAAAAAACATTAAATCCATTGATATTCGAAGATGTCGCAGGTTTGTGGTGGAGTGTGGTGGTAATTAGGATCAGAATCAGCGTTATTGTCAAACCTTCACAGTCTCTAACGATGCTCCTTCCAGAATAACAATGAGCCTCCTCTCAGCCATCCGATCATGGAGGCTAATTTTGCCTGTTTTTGCTGCTTTTGGTTCATACTCGTCCAAATGTTCAAGACCACGCTTCCTCCCTGAGTCCATGCCTGATGATGCTTGTTTGGTCGTAGGAAGATGACGTCAGAGGAAAAAGACCCCCTTTTTTTCCCCTTTTTTTAATATAAAACATCCAAAGTATTGAGTTTATATTAGCTAATATACTTTAACATGTTTTAGAGAAATTCAGAGTTAGAAATATTTTTTAATTTTGTCGAATTTAACCTAAAATATTTGAAAGCGACGAAAGGAAACTACGTCAATTTTGTGCGCCGGATGTTCTCCTGCAACGTGTTGAAGGGAATTCACGTGTGGAAACCTAAAAGTCTGGAGTCTAAAAGCATCGTGTTGTCGGTGAGTATTTGTGTAAGACATATTTAACCTTATCTGTCATGCCGAATAACATATTTAAAATAAAAGTTTTAACACCCAGCTGGGTGTATAGATATTGTCTAATAAGGCGTATTTATCTCGTTTGTCCCTGTGGAGCTTATAGCATTAGCTCGCTCATGTACATCTGACTGCAAACAAAACAGTCAAGTAAGTAATACTGAGTCTAACTGTCAGGTTTAAATCCTACACTGTGTTCATTGAATACCATGTCCTCATTAAGGCACATGTTATCTGCTGGGAAAATAAAATGAGTCTGTCTCCTCTGCATATCACTGTCTGCCATTTATTAGCCACGTTTCTGTCCCCATTACAGTAAACAAATGCTTTTTAGCACATTATCTACTAGTCATTTTAGTTTACATTAACAGGTCACATCAATTTAGTTAATTTTTACACTCTACTTCCAATCATGGTCATTAGTAAAATTGATCATTTGTGTATTACTGTCGTGTAAATATAAATAAATAAATCGACCATATATATATATATATATATGGAATCTTAAACCGATCAACATCAAAATTCACCCCTTTTAGAGTTTAACTCTTGCAACTTTTTTATTTTTTTGCTTCCATTTTCCTATGTTCTTATCCTTTTTAATCCCCACACTGTGGGACAAAAGAGGTTATTTCTTTTCTATCACTTTACATCAACTATATTTTCAAAGCTGTTTGATTCCATTTTACCCAATTATTCAAAAATAATATATATTGACAAAGAAAAATCCCCATTAAGACCAAAATATAATATATATATAATGTTGATGAATGTAAAAATAAAATAAGTTAGGATGATCTATTTTCAGTCACTCTGTATACACTAGTTGCACTTCCTATACAGCTGCCCCGAGGCCACACTAACCAGCTTTTTAAAAAAAAAAAAATTATAATTATTACCTTGTCACAAGTACAGAGCAACTAAGAGAACTCTCTGCATTGCCTTGTAGGGCAGTGGGCTGCCATTGTTAGGCATCTGGGGAGCAGTGTGGGGGTAAGGGTCTTGCTCAGGGACCCAGCAGTCTGTGGGAGTGGGGCTTGAGCTCAGTACCTCAGGATTCCAAGCTCTATGCCCTAGCCAATAGGTCGCCAAGCTGCAATTAAATTGGTGCCACCAAATCGTCTGACCACCAAATGCAGGTGTTAAGATGGTCCAGTCTAACTCCAGTCCTAAATCCCGCTGAGAATCTGTTCACCTGCTCAAACAAAACATCAGTAGAAAAATAACATATCAACAGATTGGACTGTTTTTTTTTTTTTATTCTTTATTTTTTCCAGAGTCTTTGTCACTAAAGGATATGGATGTCCTGATGCAACTATTTAATTTCCAGCATGATACTGATATTCCAGCTTTGAGTATCAACCAATGCTGATATCAAACCAACGTTGATATCAGCATAAATCATGCTTACTGTTATTACTTATTTTGAAGAGTAAAATACTGGAAAAGGCTTGATCAATTTTCATAATTTAAACAGAGAATATTTGGCAACAAATATAAGCAAGAGAAAAAATAAATCCTATTTTATATCAGTAGGTTACAAAAAGTTTAAACAGAAGTTAGGTGTTTCTGTATGCATGCTTATATGTTGCAAACCAAAAAAGTGCAAAAGAACTGAAAACATCTTTCATGTTGCAAATGCTTCAAAATGTCCGCCCTTTGCTTTGATCAATACCCTACATTCTTAGCATACTCCTAACTAGCTTCATTAAGTGGTCTCTTGAAATGGTTTTCCAGAGTCTTTAAAAATCCTTTCCAGAGATGATTTGAAACAAGGCCAGAAGTGTATGAATTGGCTATTTTTAAATTTTTTTTATTACTTCGAGCTGGAGGTTGCACTTTATCTAGTGTAAGAATTTGCTCTGATAATTTTTTTTTTTTACCACAATCATTTGCTTGCTGATAAAGAAGATGGTCTCCGCTGTGGTGCTGGACCCTCCAAATGAACATAACGTATTTCCATGTCTTTATTGGTCGAGGCTAAATGGAGCCGCCGTAGAGAGGACCTCCAGGTCTTAGGAGCCACTTAGGGTTAGGTTTTATTGAAGCTCAGTTTGACAGATCTAGTGTGATGTATATTTTGTTCACTGAAAAATATGTCATTTTCATTGGGTTATTGTTGGTGTAAATGAGTACTGATATAGTGTAATGATAAGTTGTCTCTTTATTTAAGCACATTCTCTGCTTTTTCAGTTCAAGGCTTTAGCGCTTAGACATGGGTCGTAAGTTGGATCCCACCACCAAGGTGAAGAGGGGCCCGGGTAAGAAGGCCAGAAAGCAGAAGGGAGCAGAGGTTGAATTGGCCAACTTTATAACAGAGGGTAATCCATTTATTTAATCGTCACTAATAAAAACAAATTTCACATCCTTCTTTTTTTAATGCTGATTGTGTCTGACACTGTATTGTCTTTGCAGAAGATACAGGAGCTAAACGTTTGTCAAGTAGAGCCAGAAAAAGGTAACCAGAGGACTCTTTATACAGCCTTTGATAAAACTGCTGTCTTTGTAAAGTATGGTTAATAATGTTGCATTTTTTTTCTTTTCAGAGCTGCTAAAAGAGTTCAGAACCTAAAAAAGCCAGAAGACATTACTGAGAAACAACCAAAAAAAGGTAAATGTGTCAATCTTAATTAATGTGTGACATGTTTTTAAAATGTAAATACAACTTTTACCACCAAGCACATGGCCTATGTGCCTAGGGGTTTGTTTAACTGGTTAATTACAAATCTACTTCCAGCTTGCTTTGCATCCAACTGAAAACTCAGTTATTAATGTGAAAATCAGAGATTTTCAGTGTTTTTTTGTTTTTGTTTTGTTTTTTTACTGTTTTAGTGTATCCAACGAAACAATATACAAACAGGGAAATAGCATTGACATAGATGCCCACTTTAAAGCAGACTGCACTATTGCTGCATGTCATTCATCTTAAACAACAATTAAAATGTTTATCACACCTTTCTCACATCTGTTTAATTCCTGCCTTTCAGTCATTACATCTTTCCTTGTTCTATTTTGAAGTCTAAAGCAAAACTGTAACTTTTGACTTAAGTGCTAGCTTAATTAAAGATGTATTCAAAGATTCAAGTCAATCTACAGCGCTTGATGAGTATCAATGAAGAAATTAAACCTACTTGATCAGATATATTTTTGGTTCTCTGATGTGGGATTTAATCTAGTGACCTTTTCTTCAATAGTAACTTCAGAAACTTCTCAATCTCCGGGCCCAACGCTGCCTGCCAGCACTGAGGTAGACTGTCCCCCCATCTGGACTATGCCTGTTCTAGCTCCTATTTATCCACCTTTCATGTGGAGGCCACTATAAGGATTGGAAAGGAACACCAGACTGCTGGCAAAGCAGTGCTGCACGGGACAAATATTGAAAGCTCACTGCGCGTTCGGGCGGGAGCGGTGATAAGCAGTAGTCCTGCGAACTAAAAACGTGTTTTAAAACGTAAAATAAAGTCATAATTGATCAGTCTATGTCTATCATTTATATACATCACAATGTGCTGGATATTGCAGCTCGTGCCACCTAACGCGCGTCATGCAGTGCGGTGAAGAATTCAAACTAATGACACAAATTGCCTTGAGCAGTAGGCGAACGTCGGAATCATGTGGGAATTGCGAGTGGGAGCGACACAAACTATTACAGGAGCGGGACTGAAAACTGCGGGGTCGGGCGGGATTTTCCAGTCCTGCGCAGGCCTCTAATTTAGAGTTGAAACAGCCATGTTGGATTTTAAAGTCAAGGCAACTCACTCATTGTGAGTGATTAATGTCCCAACTTCTGTTAATTCTTGTTGTATTTCCGAATGGGAACTCAGGAAATCTAATTTCTGCATGGAAACAGAATACACTAGAAACACATTCCAATTTGAAAAGAACGGCTTAAGATTCTCCCTTGAACATTCAAATGATCCTGCTGTTAGTCTTTAAGCTCTCAAACCAGTGCTGCTATGCAACCTCTACTAGTGACACATCCTTCAGTGTATGAATGCATGAAGATGGAGAGAAATGCCTTATACACAGCAACTAGCAAATCCAGTTGGTTTTCTGTTTCACTCCCAGATCTAAGTTCTCTAATCATAGAAACATGACCTCCATCTGCTGGCTGCGTAGATATCAGACACTCACAGATAAGGTCTTATTTACTGTTGGATTTAAATACTTGTATTATTCCAACTATTCTATTAAGTTTGTTTTTAATTTCAAATTCTTTCTAAATGCCCTCTCTACCAGTTTGGAGTTTTGAATGAAAATGTATTTATTTTTTCTATTCAAAGGTTTCAGTGATGAAAACAGTAAATGGTTGAAACCTACAAAGAGGAAGCGCAAAATGGATGAGCCTGAAAGTGAGGATGAGAGCGAGGACCAGTGGGAAGATGAAGATGAGGAGGAAGAGGAGGAAAAAGCACCTCTGCAAAAGAAAGGAGGAAAACGCCAAGAAAAGAAAAGTGTGGAATTAGGATTGAAAAACCTAGAAGAAGAAGAAGATGATGATGACGACGATGATGATGACGATGAAGAAGAAGAAATGGTTGACGACTACGGTGCAGATGATGATGGCAGTGGAGAAGAAGAGGAAGAGGAGGAAAGTGACGGAGATGATGTATGTTATCGGATTTATTTCTCTCTTTAGATGGAGCATAAAAAACAGTTTTGATAAACTTTTAAAAAATTGTCTTTTTTATCTTAAGCAAGGGAACAAAAAGCTAATTGCTCATTTCTAGTTTTTAATTGACTTGATTTTCCTCATCCCTCATGTTCATTTAAAACTTTAATTTTCATCTGAAATGCTTCTTTTTAGCATCTCTGTCTTAAAGGTGTCCTAAACCTTTTCAGATGAATGTGTTGTTTAAGGATTACATTTTATAATTGTAACAAAAATTACATTAACTTATTTTATTCTTTGTTCGGATTCAAATTAGCTTCTTCCAATTGAACGTGCCGCTAAAAAAGAGAAGAAGCTGAAGGAATCCATGGCTCCAAGCAGTGATGATGATGATGATGAGGAGGAGGAAGAAGAGGATGAGGATGATGAGCAGAAATCGGATTCTGAAATGGATGAGGAGGATACCATCCAAACTAACATTGATGATGTGGATAATTTCAAACTCCCCTCTGCTGAGGAGAGTGAGGAGGGTGAGTCTGGTTTCTGTAGAATCTGACAACAAATCCAGAGAAAATGTTCTGCAATCGATCAAACCTTCATCTCCCTTTTTACAGGTGCCCTGTCTCTGGACCTGAAGACAGTCCATCAGAGAATAAAGGACAACATCGATGTCCTCTGTAATTTCTCAGCAAAAAGAGAGGAGGGCAAAGCCAGGGTGGAGTACCTCTCTCTGCTGAGGAAAGATCTCTGTACTTATTACAGCTACAACGAATTCCTCATTGAGAAATTAATGGATCTCTTTCCTCTCTCTGAGGTCTGTTTTTTTTCCTCTCTCTAATAAACTAACAAATATTTGACTGACAGCTTGAAAAAAGTAATTAATTTCCTTTTGCAGCTTGTTGATTTCCTTGAAGCCAATGAAATCCAGAGACCAGTCACAATCCGAACTAACACGCTGAAAACGAGGAGGCGGGACCTTGCACAGGTAGCTGCTCTGACTGAATCAATCTATGGACATTCTGGGTGGATTATTAGCCTTGCTTTACACATGTGTTTTTGTAAGCTGTTGAGGATAGAAATTATCGTAATGTAACATTTTGTAAAAGATTAATATTTATGAAGGAAAGTAAGTCGAAGCCTCATATTTGTGCTAGCGTTCAATTTCAAACAAGTGAGACAATTTTAACTTGATGAGGTTCTTTGTTGTCTTGTTTAGGCTTTGATCAACAGAGGGGTGAACCTGGACCCACTGGGGAAATGGTCCAAAGTGGGTCTGGTTATCTACGACTCATCGGTCCCTATCGGTACATTTCCCTTTCGCTGTTTTACATTTTTTGAGGAAGGGTGTTGAAGCGCTTGGGTTGTGATTGTCCTGTTTTGCTTAAATTCAGGTGCAACCCCGGAGTATCTGGCCGGTCATTACATGCTGCAGGGAGCCTCCAGCTTTCTTCCTGTCATGGCGCTGTCTCCCCAGGAGGGGGAGCTGGTGTTGGACATGAGCTCTGCTCCAGGAGGAAAGACCTCCTATATTGGTAAGATGCGGTGTGTTTACTCTTACTCCTATCTGTAAATTATGTGTTAAAAATTTTAACTCGTTTTCCACATGTTTAGCTCAGCTGATGAGAAACACAGGAGTGATTGTAGCGAATGACGCCAACGCTGATAGACTGAAGAGTGTGGTTGGAAACCTTCATCGCCTCGGGGTCACGAACGCTGTGGTCTGCAACTATGATGGCAGGCAGTTCCCCAAGGTAACCTCATTTCATGTGTGCACACATAACATTTGTTTGGTTTTATTTAATGTTTCCTGATTTAAGTGGATGTTTGATGCAGGTCATGGGAGGGTTTGACAGAGTTCTGCTAGATGCTCCGTGTTCAGGTACAGGAGTCATTGCAAAAGATCCAGCTGTAAAGACCAGTAAGGTAAAAACTCCCCAAGTTATCTTCGTCTATGGCTCTCAGTGAGGTTTTAATTATGAAATCAAACATTTTCCTTCTAATCCTGCTTTTTCCAATCAGGACGAGGCAGATATTCTGCGCTCTGCTCATTTACAGAAGGAACTGATTTTATCAGCTATAGACTCTGTAAATGCTGCATCTCCTTCCGGAGGATACCTGATCTACTGCACATGCTCAATAATGGTATGTGTTTTCACAGAATGGGGTTTATCCATCACTGCGAATTAGCTGAATTCTGATTAAAGGTTGCAAGACAACTCAATGCAGTCACTGTAACATACTAAAATCAATTCATTCGTAATTAATCAAGCCAATAATCCTTGAAATCATATGATATGAAAGACATTTTATGTCATATTAAGTACGCGTGTGGTCTGAGGATCTAAAGAGCGTTAAAGATTATGTAACATGCTTGATTAAAACATTTCAAAGTCAACTTTAGGTGTGTATATGTTGATATATGACCTTTGCACTTTGTTCAGAGGATCTCCAAAGATGTTAAGATGTTTAACTTGGTGCACATTTAGATTGTGCACCGAAAACGGGAAATGTGAGTCACTCTGGGTGATTCTATACCCTGTATTAAAAGTAGAAATTTTAAAGGTTAGGCTCAGTTTTTTTATATTTAGTGTGATCTCTTATGGAAATGCATCCATACCTGTTCAGGTGTTTTCATCAGGGGCGGTGGTGGCCTAGTGGTTAGAGTGGTGCACTTATGCTCTTAGAAGGTTGCAAAATACCCGGTTCTAAACCCGTGGCCTCCACTCTGGGTTCCTGAGCAAGACCATTAACCCCACACTGCTCCCCGGGTTCTTTACACCATCACCACATTCGCCCAATTGTACATTCGTAGACCGATACGCAGTTTGGTGGCCTCTTGGCGTGAAGTTTTTCATGGGGAGTGAAGTTTTTCATGGAAAGTGGCGGCCTAGTGGTTAGGGCATTAGAATCCAGAGGTTCTGAGTTCAAGCCCCACTCCCACAGACTGCCACTCTGGGTCCCTGAGCAAAGACCCTTAACCCAGGGTGCTGCACAATGGCAGCCCACTGCTCCCCACGTCGATGGGTTAAATGCTGAGAGAGAATTTCCACATTTTGGGACAATAAAAGAATTTACAAATTAGTTTATTTACAAAATCTAAAATTAAATGTCTAGTTAGGAAATGACTAAATGCATCATGCTTGACAAAAATAGTTTAGAAAAAGGTAATGAATTAACACAGATATAAAGCATCACCAGCTGCTGTGTGTGCTGTATGCAATGATTTGGAATGATCGGAAAATACTTTTTATCAGTAACTGTTGATCTAAGAATTTCTTTTAGGTCACAGCTACAATTTATTTTTTTATTAACAATTTCTCAAACACAAATGCATCTACAAAATGTCTCAATTGGGACAGAATAAAAGCGTTGATATTAATGGAAAAGATTATATAATCGTTTTATAGATTTTGATGGTACAATTGAAGGTTGGAACGAGAGAACGGGTAGCCAGAAAATTATTTAAATTTGCCGTTTATATGTCTTAGCTTATTTTTCCTCATCTAATTTGTGTGGATGTCCTAATTTAAGCTCTGATCGTCTTCTACCAGGTGGAGGAGAATGAGTGGGTGGTGGATTACGCCTTGAAGAAAAGGAATGTCAAATTAGTCCCAACAGGACTTGATTTTGGAAAAGAAGGCTTCACCAGGTACTGAAAGTTAACAATATGTTCTCATAAAGACTAAACATGGATTACTAAACAGAAAAACTTTCTATATCGTCCTTAGTTTCAAGAAATATAGATTCCATCCCTCCCTGAAACTCACACGCCGTTTTTATCCACATTCCCACAACATGGATGGGTTTTTTGTGGCCAAATTTAAGAAGTTCTCCAATGTGATCCCATCTGCTTCAACTGGGAAAGGTAACTCTTCCTAAAATCTCCATCTGGATTCTGAATTGTTCCCGTTTAGTGTTATAATGATGTAACTCTCTGGTGGTCATTGCAGAAGATGAGAAGACAGAAGCTTCTGAGGCGACTGAAGTTACAGAGTCTCCGAAAAAAACGGCGCCCAAAAACAAGACGGTTAAGGATGCTCCAGCAAAGACGAATGCCCAAAAGAAAAATGCCAAAACTAATGGGGCAGCAGCTAAGAAACAAAACTTCAAGACTAAAGGACAGCAGGACTCTCAGACTGGGCCCAAGAAGGCAAAGATCGCCAAAATGGATGGAGAGCCTGTAAAGGGGGACCAGGTGAAAAAAGGCACGGTGGAGAAGCCTGCGATGAAGAGCCCTGATCAGACAAAGGAATCAAAAACTGTCAAAAAAGATGGAAGCAGATTTGAGAAAAAGCAAACCAAAAAAGGGAAAACGCCCTTGAAGATGAAGAACAGAATGGGAAAGAATGCATTCAAGAAGATGAAACACAAGTGGCCTAAAAACAAATAAAGGCTGGGATGTGAACAGTGAAACCTTGTAAGGCCATATTAAAGACCTGACTCTATTTCTCTACATTTAAATAATGTTTGGGTCAATGTGTTCCAGTGTTTTAGACCCATATGTGTTAAATATGACATGGCTGTACGATGATGAATTTGATTCACTTTTTGTTTTTATCAGATATATAGTGATTGTAGGTTTTCTGGAGGTGAGAACAACTCCCATATCCAATTAAATATTTTAAGACTTTATTTTCTCCCATTCTGATTACTGGTTGTTATTAGATTCGATTTTTCATCTTAAAGGTAATTAATTCCAACAACAGTAAAAAGCTAGTTTTAAATCACTTAAATAAATAGAACAATTTTAGACCAAAATACATTTAAACATTTCTGTTAATTGAATAATAAAAAAACTGCTGTTTTTTGTCCATCTGCAGCATATGACATTTATAGATTGAAGGAAGTAGATGGAATACATTTTTGATATTTCAAACAATAGTTGCTTTTTATTATTAGTTTGTATAACATCAAAGGTAATCATTACCATGCATAAATCAATTGGTGTTCATGAAGTGAATCCTGAGTTGCTTAAAGGATTTGAGGGAATTTAGCTGCAGCTTTGGACGTGCAAGAGCAGAGAAACATGTTTTTAAAGGAATATTACTTTATTTGAGATTTAGTTTACCATAATGAGGAAATGTACCTAAAGCTTGATGGTTTTTATATCAAGTTGTTTAATTTAAATGGCTTTCTGCAGCTTCTTTGCTGATGAATCATTTGATGAAAAACTAAAGTGCAAACAAAATCTACTTTAATAAGAACAGTATCTCTACACTAGAAATGCATCAGTTCAAATGGTTTAGGTCTACGAAATAAACTGTTCTTCAGTTACAAAATAATTTGAACAGGGGAGCACAAATGATAAACCAGTTTAGGGGCCAACGCAATCTATGGCCAGCATTGTTTATATGTTAGAAGAAGAGGGGCTTTGTTTCTATGTAATTTAAGGTGATATGTGAATACTTTAGACATAAAGGCAAAGTTTCTCTCCTAAAAAGCCCTGTTTGGTCCTTTTCCAAACGGAAGCTGCGTTGTTTACCCTTTCCAAGATGGCGGCGGGCATGTATCTGGAGCATTATTTGGACAGTAAGCTATAAATACGGCTTTAAACCATCTTCTACATGCTTAGCATAATTTAGTCAACACATGCTTTGTATATAATTATAATTTATAGCGCGTGTCTGGTTTTACATGGAATTGAACGCCATAACGTTTCCACAACGGTCAGTCCGTTTGGGCTCTGTCTATTTCCTGGAGAAGCGCCTTGCAGCGCGGCTAAAATGATGCTGCAATAGTTCCCTAACCACACAGGCAGTTCTTCAATAATTTATGCATTTCAAACTATCTAAATCCACACATACAGCTATATGTGTTATGTTCGTTGAATAAACTCAAAAAATAATCAATGCATTTCATGTCCAACACTTGGCTGGCTATCGCTCGCATCATTTTCTTTGATTCTCAATGATGCTGCGATTAAACATGTCGGGTTTTTTTCCATCTTCATCCATTCAGGTATAGAAAACCTTCCCTTCGAGCTGCAGAGGAACTTTAATTTGATGAGAGATCTCGATCAACGCACAGAGGGTGAGACTGATCTGCAGTGAAACCAATTTAATGCGAAAACAGGCAGAATCCATGAAGTAAAAGTCGCCTTTAATCACAAAATCCATTGAATAGTGGATTACATATTAAAAATGTAAAATTCCATTTTAGTGAATTTATCACAGTCAGCACTGTCCATTTTTATTGTTTTTGTAAGAACTTTTTTTTAGGTCCCATCAGGGATAAGAGCTAATAAACTTGATTTTTGTTCTTCTTTTGTTACAACTAATTCAAATCAATTTTGTTAATTGAAGATCTGGAGTTTCGTAGTTTTCAATTTCCTTGAAGCTTTACATATTTGATTAGAGCAAAAAAGCAATGCAACCTTTTGTTTTAAGATGTATGTTTTCTTAACCAAAAAATGACATTTTAAGAAAAAAAATGTCACTCAAATTTGTCATTAGTTCTTACTATTTTTCAGCAAAAATAAATGCACTGCAGAGATATATCAATTTTTTCCCTCAGAACTTTAGAACAAGATATTGACGAAGGCAAATATGTTCTGATTATTTTTTCTTTCGTTTTTTATATCAGTGCAGCCAACAGAAAATGAATGATTAATGAAAGCAAAGCATCAAAAAAAGTCCTGATCTTAAATCCAGCTGAGATTTTGTGACATTTGCCATTTTATAAACATAACCTCACAAATATACCTACCCTACCTTCTGATGTGTAAGGCTGGGAGAGACCTACTGTAATCCAAAATCCCTCTAGGATGGAGGTTTGATTGCAGCAAAAGGGGGTTTCACAAAATATTGATTCAGAGACTAAATAACAATTAACATTATGCTTAATTTATTTATACAAAGAATTGAAACAAGTTTTACACTTTTTTTTATTATTGAAATTATTTCTTTTCCCAAAAACAATTTTATTAATTTATTTCTGTGTAACAAATGGCATTCTTAATGACCATTAGATGCATTTTAGACATAAATGTTGAAAAATATAACTTAAAATATATCTTTATTTCATTTAGACTTAAAAGGACAGATTGACTCTCTGGCTAAAGAATACACGTCTAACGCCCGGACTCTGTCATCTGAGCAAAAACTCTCCCTACTGAGGCAGATTCAGCAGTCCTACAGCAAATGCAAGGAGTTTGGGGATGATAAGGTGCAGCTGGCTATGCAGACCTATGAAATGGTTGGTACATCTTTAAATAAAAGAAAAAAATAAATTGAAATTATACATCAGAAATCAGCTTACTAAAGAGATATTTTTTTTGTGTCAGGTCGACAAACACATCCGCCGCCTTGACACAGACCTGGCTCGATTTGAAGCTGATCTGAAAGAAAAACAGATTGAGAGCACTGACTATGATTCCACCTCCAGTAAAGGAAAGAAAGGTCCGTATGTGTCCTTTGTATTCACTCCTTTTTAGTGTGCGTGTTGATGACTGGAAGAGTTTTGTAACATGTGTGTGATTTCAGGAGAATCCAGACAGAAGGAGAAGAAGGCTGCTAAGACAAGATCTAAAGTGAAGAGCTCAGATGAAGATGGAAGTCCCAAGAGTGCGCAGAAGAAAGTCAAACTTTTTCAGCAGTATGTTTTAGATCTGCTGCTAATCCTTGTGTATGGATTTTGTGTTTCAAACCCAGAAGAAAACTCATTTGATGTTTTCTCTCCATCCTATTAGAGGGGAATTCAACAGCCCTTCATCCAACTTTGGCAACGTTCATCCATCCGATGTGCTGGACATGCCTGTGGACCCAAATGAACCCACCTACTGTTTGTGCCATCAGGTGTCCTATGGCGAGATGATTGGCTGTGACAACACCGACGTGAGTTTGGTTTAATCTATGAACAGAACTAAATCGATTTTTATGTGGAACAGATGTTCACCCATTAGGAACTTATTTGACACATGATTGTATGTAGTGAGCACAGTTGGTTTGTTTTAGCAAATACATGTATTGGATTTAAATATTATTTATTAGCACAACTTAGTCAGAGCCAATTGCATCAGTTTTGCATTTGGATTGTATTTAGTTGCTGATCATAAGAGGTTTTTCTCTAAGATTAGAAAAATGCAAATAGCTCAGATGAATTTAAAAACTTGCAGTTTATGAAATATTCAATAATCTTTTTCTCCCTTTCAATTGTATTTCCTACAATACTTGCAGTTCATACATATATATTGTAGCTACAGTGGCTCATATGATGTGACCAAAAAACCTTAGTGAAAAATTGTGGTTTTGTAATACTGTGCTCAGACCGTGTGCGTTTAGAGCATCAAAGAGACCAACGCCTCAACTTGTGCTCTCTGCTATGTGCAAGCATATAGCAGTGAGACTCTTATTAAAGAAAGGATGCACAGATGCCTCTGACGCGTTGGAAGGAGCTTCCTTTGCTGAATTTTGTATGTTCGACGATAGATGCAGTCGTGACATTGCTTTATTTGATGTGATGAGTGAGGGGAAAAAAGTCATTCTTTAGCAAGAAAGTACACCTCAAAATATTATTGATGCAGTTGGTTCATCAGGATTTTGATCATACATTGAAGTATTCTATTATCCTGAGCCGTAGACCCCAGCATAGCAGCTGGCGGTAGCACAAGGAATCCCAAATGAGAGCCCCTCCAACCGGCTAGGTTCTTTGTGATTTCCTGCTGGCATTCAGAACAACTGAAAGTGAACATAAAGCGCTATTTATGTATAAGGTAAAAGCTGCAAGTACCAGAATGTAAAACTGAAAATTTTGGGCCTGCAAGTTTTAAGATTTCAGGTTGATGGAGGTATTAATTTAAAACGGTTTTACAACAGTTGAAAAAATATTTAAGTTCCGATGATCAGACCACTCTCATGCTACGTTCACACCTAAAGCAATATTAAGCTTCTGCTACTTCAGTTTTAATGCTTGTCAACATTAAGGTCAGATGTCCAGTAAGGTGTGTACAGGTGCCTCTGATGCTTATGGTCTTGCGTTCAATGCCAGACTTTGCTACATTTGCTTTGATAAGTGGGTAAAAAGTAGTTTCACTATATTTTTATGTGAGAAAGTACCCCTCAAAACATCGTTTGTGCAGTCAGTGCATCAAGATTACCATCCTGCCATAAAACATTATTGCGCTGTTGGAGCTGCACAGATCGCTACATACTGGCGGTTCACTCTCACTGGGAATCCAGCTGCAGCTGCGGGGTTCTGCTACTGTTTGGGGCAACTGGAAGTAGATATTAACATTTTTTTCACAAACTGCAGGTACCAGGATAATAAATGCAAATATATCTTACAGCATTTTTGGATCTGCTGAAGGCTTTTAACTACAGTTTGTAAACGTTGCTGATAGTAAAGAATTACAATAATCCAGCCTTGAAGTAACAAATGGATGGACTATTTTCTTAGCATCACCCCTGGACAGGATATTTCTAATTTTTGCAATATTCTGCATTCTGAAAGAATGGAATTCTAGAAACCTCTCTGAAATGGGATTTAGATGACAAGTCCTGATCAAAAATAACACCAAGGTATTTTACTTTATTATCTGAAATCAGTTTAATCCCATCCAAATGAAGTGACTGACTAATCAGCTTCTTTTTCAAAGACTCTGGTCCAAATACTATAACTTCTGTTTTTCTGCATTCAGAAGCAGAAAGTTAAGAGTCATCCAGGTTTTTATGTCTTTAAGACATGCCTGTAATCTATGTAATGGGTTAGCTTCATCTGGATTTAAAGACAGATAGAGCTGCGAAACATCAGCATAACAGTGGAAATTAATCCCATGCTGTCTAATAACTACCGATTGGGAGCATATATATATTAAAGAAAATTAGTCCTAGCACTGATCCCTGTGGTACTCCACAGGTAACCCTGGAGCATGAGGAAGATTTGTCATTAATGTGAACAAACTGAAATCAATCAAATAGCTAAGATTTAAACCAGTCTAGTGCTGTTCCTTTAATTCCTACAAAAATATTCAAGTCTTTCTGAAAAAATATTATGATCAACTGTTTCAAATGCAGCACTAAGATCCAACAGGACGAGCACAGATACAAGTCCATTATCTGAGGCCATGGGAATATCATTAGCAACTTTCACCAGAGCTGTTTCAGTGCTATGATGAGCTCTAAAGCCAGACTGAAACTCTTCAAAAAGTTCATCATTGTGTAAGTGGTAGCACACTTGTTTTGGCAACTACTTTCTCAAGAATTTTAGGTTAGAAAGGAAGATAGGTCTATAATTGACCAAGTCATCTGGGTCAAGAGACAGTTTCTTAAGTAAAGGTTTAATTACAGCAACGTTAAAAGCCTTTGGTACATATCCCTGTAACAGAGATAGATTAATCACATCTAAAATGGAGGACGAGATCAAAGGGAATACTTCCTTAAATAACCTACATACAAGTTGAAGGCTTAGATTAAGACAACAGATTTTTTTAAGTCTGAAAGTTCAACTCGATCAAAGCAGTCTGAACCCGGTTAATATTCTATGGCTACCTCAGATACTGCCTCGCCTTCCAGAGATAAACCAGTAGTAGTTAGAGGAGTGCTAATGATCTTATTTTTAATAAGATCAATCTTATTTATAAAGAATCCCATCAAATCATTACTGCTAAGAGCAGGTGGGATGGACGGTTCAACAGAGCTATGGCTCTGGGGGAGTTTGGCAACTGTATTAAAAAGATATCTAGGATTATTCTTATTCTCCTTTCACTAATGAGGACAAATAGGCTGCTCTAGCTTTACAAAGGGTCCCCTTATACATCAGTAAACTATGATTATCCTAGCCTTTTATGTAAATGCAGTGCAGTGTAACCCTATTATAAATATGTTTATTTATTTTTCATAGTTTTATGCTAACACTGCTGCAGGAGGAGTGATCACGGCTTGGATCAAGTGACCATCTCTCAGCCAGCTCCCAGATCAGTTTCTCTGATTGGTGGAGGACAAATTGAGACTTCCTAGCTTTGGCGTCTGCCGCTTTGGGTTGGTGTCAGCATTCAACTCAAAGACAAGCTTCACCTGATGTGAAGATATCCAGTGATGATGCGGTTAACACCATAGACTTTGCATGTAAACTGGCTGTCTGTGAAAATACACGCATTTGAATGAAATACACGTAACAGCCTTAAACTAATTCTTGGTTGAATCACTTTTTGACCTGCCTTATTGGATTTTAATCTATCAGGAAGGAGCATCTTGACTAGGCATTAATCGCCCACTCGCCTTTGCAAAAATACTCAGCCAAAAACATCTATTTACTGCCACATTTTGATTGTCAGACATGCTGAAAGTATGCAAACAATGGAATTCTGCAGCGAAGTAAATTATATGCAACAACAGTAGCCACATGCTAACAATGCTGTGTCCCAGTGATTGCTTTTAAACCAAATAAACCTGGTCACATAGAATGCATTTAAAAAATGATTTATTGAGATCTAAACTTGACTTGAGGATTACATTTTATTGTTAAGAGCTTAACAGTGCACAAGTTTAGAAAAGGGATTTACATATTGTGTATGATAAATAAATTATTCTGTAAGTTTGTTCTAAATTTGCTCTGATATTTTGTAAAACATGAAAAAAGGTTTTATGCATGCATCTCAACATAGAAATGTCTGAGCTAGAAAACACTGCTAAAGGTGGTGTTATATGTTTGGGTTTAGTAGGTTACTTTAAATCATGGCTCTAAAGTAATCTCAGTTTCATTATAGTGGTTAATTACGAAAACACAGACAGGGGTACACGTTTCTGCAACCACAGTGTTTTAAGTTTTTATTTAGATAATAAAAACTGGAAATCAAACAGGGATGTATATACTTTTCATGTCTGATATATTTATTGGATGCAAATATATTTTTAAGTATTTTAAGTTGTTAAGGCCTATGCCATATCCTTAAAAAATACAACTTTGAACTTTCAGTTCTTCACTGCATCTTTTGAAAAGCTTGGTTTAGTCCAATTGTTTCGTCTGTGCTCGAGTAAAAGTATTTTAATTTCCTTTTCAGTGCTCCATCGAGTGGTTCCATTTTGCATGTGTGGGCTTAACAACCAAACCACGGGGAAAATGGTGAGGAAAATCAATTTGTCATCACTGTGTGTAGCAGAAATGTTTTAGAGTTCATACAGGTGACCTTAACTACATTTATTCTCCTTCTGCAGGTACTGCCCACGCTGCTCTCAAGACAGAAAGAGAAAGTGATTCAACTGGTCACTGAGGACCAAAATAAAGATCCATTGAATGGAACATGAAAAAAAGTTTTGTTAATACATCTTTAGCTTCACATTTATGTTTGACATTTGGTGCTTTTTACTTTTTGTTTTACATCCTTGCCTTGGTCTGATGCGTGTGAAGGAGCCAGGTGGTTACAAACGTATTTAATTTTTGTTTTAATAGAAAATGTTTTTTTTTTAATTTAGCTATCTTTGGTGCTCTTTTTGTGACTTTTTCATTTATTTTGTCCACATTACTAATATACACTACAGCTGGCCCTTTTGATTTTGTAGTTGTAACATTAAACAATACTGTATTCACATGATGTTCACATATACAAGAAAAAAAACTTTCTACATATTCTTAATGAAATGAACCTGAAATGTTTTTTTTTATTGTTATATTTCCCTTATTTGAAATTAAAACACTATTTTTAGAAGAAAAAGATAAAGATTTGTGACAGCATTAGATGTATGTCGTAGTGACATAGGCCATTTTCATTTAACTTTTTTTTTATTTGAGTGCTGCATAGAACTTAAAGACATTTCTTGAAGAGTATTTTTATTTCTGTAGCTGAAATATTGGTGCCGGGTTGAGGGGATGATGGGGCTGTCAATCATTTCAATACAGCTACTACCTCAAAAAAACATTCCTCTGGTCTCTGTCTTTTTTTCACGGCAATCACTTCGCGCTGCACTGTGTGTAGTTGACCAGTAGGTGGCGGTGTGTATTCAGGATTCATATACGCCGGGATGGCGTCATCGTTTCATTTCTTTGGCGCGCGGTCGCAGTAAATTTGAAAAGCTATTTACAGAAACCGTTTACGGAGGCTTTGTGAACAGGACGCAGAAACAGTGGGTTACTTTTAATATTAGGACCGAAGTTGCTCCTTAACGCCGGTAATGTATCTGATTTGACCGTGTGAAACCTGTAGAACTGAGTTTTCTGATATTTTTTCCACTTGGAAAATATTGTAGACTAGCGGGTTTATGGCGAACAGTTAGCTTATTAGCTTCGGTAGCATTGGTAGCTTGTTGCACTGACAACAGCATATTGTTACTGTTGAGGGTACATGACTACATTTTACTTTGTATTTAATTTACTTGAAAGCATTTCCTATATTTCTTACCAGTGCTGATAGTTTAACTTCTACACTTAGTATTTCACATATTTTGACCTGTTTGCTACGTTGTTAGTTGTAAATCTTTTTTTTTTTTTTTTCTTGTGACTTGGCTAAGGTTTTGATAAACTTAATATGAGCTGTCTTTGTCTCGCAGAGATGTCGTGGGACTTTTTAGTACCTGTGTGTGTTGGAGATCTGGTTAAAACGGGAGGTATAAACCAGTATGTGGTTCGAGATGTGGTTCCAGCAAAACAACTACCATCCCACCTTACTAGTAAGTGGTAGTTTTTTGTGCTCTTGTTTGATTTTCTGTTCTTAGATGCCATACTCTCTTAATCATTGTGATCACAGTTAAATGATTAGTTCTGACAACCAAATAGTTCTGGTTCCTTCGTTACTTTCTCTTTACAGATGCAGGAGAAAAGAAATACGATTCCATATATTTGCCCTATTCCCTAGAAAATACTTTGTCTAGAGCCATTTGTATTACCGTTTAGAAGAGCTATGATGTATCTTGTTTACAGTATAAATGAGGGGAAAGATAAATAGAAAATTCTTAAATACATTTTTAATTGCTTCTGATATTTTGACCTCTAAACAATTAACATAAAGGTAGCATATACATTTTAATATATATTTTTAATGAGTCATTTTTATCTACTTTTAACATTTTATTCTCCATTCCTGTTTTTATTTTTAGATGATTATTTTTTTACATTTATGCTTTCATCTTTTAAATATTCTAAATATAAAAGTAATAAATTTTTCATTTTTACCTTAGAATTCAAGGCGGCCCTTAGGAGCCAGGGGCCATCATGTATATTGGAACATTTTGACACAGGCTACAGTGTGCTACAGTAAGTCTTCTTATTTTTCTAATTATTTCTAACAATAACTGAGGTAAAAAGCTTAGTCTCTCTTTTGTTTGTAGGCATTTTAATTCGTTGGAACTCGGGTTAAAAGAGGATACCCTGGAATTGCTTATTCAAGGTTAGATTTTTACATGCACATGAATTAAACATGCTTAAAAATGGACATTCTTGTCGTGATTTACTTATTTTTAACTGGTTTCTCTTTCAGTGGTTAATGGCCTGGCTGTGTCCCTGCCTTCAGTTCTCAACTCCACATCCTTCTCAGCTGCAGAGCGCAAGGAAAACCTAAATGCTGTTAAAATGAGTGTCTTCCTGCTTTGTAAACTCACCGAGAGTCTTGAAAGTCTCTCCTATAGACAGAATATCATCACAGCTCCTGGAAAGGTGAAGTCATCAGTGGCTTAGATAAATGTTTTTAATTTTTCTGCATGTGAAAATATCCAGTGATGAGACGTTGGCATTAATTATGATCTGGTCAGACCTAGAAACTGTGGCTTTTAATCAGATGTTTGGTGGGTAATCTTGGTAGTGTGATTGAGTTTTATTACACTGCTGTAAGGGCTCACCTATATTAAATCTGCCACCTTCTACCACCTCTATCCCATGGTGAGACATTTTGTGGGATTTGTAGAAGATGTCAAAACACTGTGTGTGGTTTCTTGTTTGTTGTGTGAATGTTTATGTATCAGCTGGTAAAAGGCTATTGTCTCTATAGTTGGTTTGACAGATATGAACTTCATCTTTGGTAATCTGAGGATATATATTGAATGGTGTGTTGATATGCTGTTTTATCTCCCAGTTTTTAGGTGTTTAACTTATTTTGAATTTAAAGACTTTGCTTTCTTTGTGTACAACAGGGCAGTAAAAAAGGTAAAGGTACTAAAGAAGGCCTGCTGCAGTGGGATTCTGAAAGAGAAAGTGTGCTGCAGGCTCTGGTCCAGCTCCTTCAGCTGGATATCCGCTCTCTTTGGAGCCTTTCCCTTGTGGAGGAGGAATTTATCAGGTATTTTGCTCTTAGTTTAGCTCTGGGCTAAGCACAAGTACTTATTTACCTTAGTAGCATCTTTTTTGCCTCTTTGTGTCCTTATCAATAACCACAAAGGAATTTATATCTAGGATCAATTTGGAACTGTGTCAAGTTGCTTTTTGTTATGTGTACGTTGTCCAAAAGTAAATAGTTCACACAAGTCGTTTGTTCCTAGTGTCTAGTAGGTGTTTCTCTTTGATATTTTTTTTCTTAATAATTTTTCCTAATTTCTTTGATTGTTTTTATTTATTTTTTTGTTAACACAGAAGATAAACGCAAATGATTAACTATGTCTCGAATTCCTCCCAGCTGTGTGACCTGTTGCTGCTACAAGTTACTGGAGAACCCAACTATCAGTCACGTCAAGAACAAACCCACAAGAGATAATATAACTCACCTTCTTGGGGTACTGATCTCCAAATACAACCACCTCTTAGGTTTGTGTCCAACTGTATGGATTCTTGTGAATGCAGTTTATAAACACAACAGTTTGCTTTTATTTTTTCTATTCTATTTTTTCTATCAAACCTTTCCTTATCTAAATTCTTCAGGTGCCAGTGTGAAAGTCATTCAGATGCTGCAACACTTTGAGCAGCTGTCCTCTGTTTTTGCACAAGCTGTGTCTGTGTGGAGCACAGAGTATGGAGTCAGAGCAGTTATTGGAGAAGTGATCAGGTCAGTAGATTATTGTGAAGCTTATGATCTCCAATTTAATTAAAATGTTTAAATGTTTTTTTTTTTTTTTCCTTTCAGGGAAATCGGTCAGAAGTCAAGCGAAGAGCTTGCCCGAGAGGGTTCAGGTGTCAAAGCATTTTCCTCTTTTCTCTCAGAACTCAGTGGCCTTGTACCTGCATTAATGATACCCAACATTAGTGTCCTCATCACCCACCTGGAAGGAGAGGTTTGTATTGGGAACAAAGCTCTTTACTTAGCTTCATCTTAAATGAGATTCTCACAGTATGATAACCTTGTTTAAAAACACTATGAAATTACATTGGCACAAAAAATTAAAATGGTGATCCAACAGTTTTCATTTAAAATTAAAATGCAACAATTATTCCCACTTACTTTTATTTTAATACAGATATTTTAAGTTAAGATATGAACTAAAGATGCAGTTAACAATCCAATATTAGTCAATCAAGGTACAAGTTCTAGTAGAGCATGAAATAAGCTGCATAACACTTCCTTGGTTTATAGTTTTAAGTGTATTACCTTGACAACAATGATGGTGGCAATTCTTTATTTTCCCACAATATCAGAGTTACTCAAGGCCAGAAATGGACCTTCCCAGAAGATCTAATTTGTTTTACTTTGGGAAGCAGATGTTGCCTTCTTTTAGGAGATCGACAGTGATTTTTCTTTGCTCCATGCAGCTGGAGAAAATACTGGTCACTGACACTTTCTGCCTTCCCATGGAAATAAGTTTAAACCAAAAGAATATTTGAAAATCATAATGTACGTAGTACCAGTAACAGGCCGTGATGGTTTTGTAACTGGAAAATCATTCACATAAAAATGTTTTAGGAGGATTCCAATGTAGCGTATGACATTTGCTCCCACATTTTCACCTAATGGGCTACATGATCTTTTTTAATATTTTCTGTCCCATCTGCGGAAGTCCAGAAGACTAGATGAGATATTCAGGGATCATCAAAATGATGTTGTTAGGGTAATAACATTTGCTTTATTTTATTCATTCCAATTAAAAGGTTTTAACCACTATCAGAATAAAACATTTATCCTATCAAAGTGAAATGTTTTGTGCTCATTTATTTACATTTTTTTGTACAGGCATATAACCTGACTATGTCCCTTCAACCTGAAATAATGGGAGAATATCTGATGATTTCTGTTTTAGCAGCCTCTGGCTCCTAAACAACCTGGCAGGGTTTTTGTTTGTTTTTTGTTTCATTCATGTTTGCCCAGTGATGAGAATAAGGCAAATATGAGCTCATTGAACGAGACTTGGGTTCTTCTTGCCTT